ACAGACACCTACATATCATGATTGCAAACCTTACTTTTGGTATTCCAGAGATGATCCAATTAAACTATTTCCTAGGGAAGGATCTTTTAATCTAGATAAAATTATTATTTTTCAGTTGTTTTTCAATCATGCCTGACTATTCATGACCCCATTTGGGGTTTTCTTGAAAAAGATACTGGAGTGGCTTGCTGCTTCTTCCCCCAACTCATTTTACAGATAAGGAACTAAGGCAAACCAAGGTTAAGTGACTTGCCCAGGGTCATACAGCTAGTAAGTATATGAGACTGGATTTGAACACATGAAGATAAACCTTTCTGATTCCAAGCCCAATTATCCATCAGCTGTGCCACCTAGATAAAATAGTGTCCTTAAAATAGGACTACCAAGTAAGGGGTCTCCAATGCAAAAATGAATACCAAAATTTGTTTAAAAAGAAAAAAGGAAAAATACATGATGTAGGAGGTGGACTTGACTCAGCCCAGTTCAATACTAGAATGAAATGAGACATTTAATAAGTTGTTCAATGGTTAACAAAAGGTTTCCTTAGCTATAGGAGAAGGATATTCAATAAAGAATATTGCTGAAAAAAAAATTTCTGCAGTTGACTACTTCACTTCCTAGCCAATCAACCAACAAGCATTAATTAAATGCTTGGTAAGCACTAGTCATTGTACTAAGCACTGAGGATACAAAGAAGGCAAAAACACGGTCCCTGCCCTCAAAGAGTTTATATTCTAATAGGGAAGACAACATGCAAACAACTATGCACATAAAAGACATATACAGAGCAAATGGAAGGTAGTCTCAGAGGGAAGGCACCAGCCTGACCAGGAAAAGACCTCTTGTAGGAGATGAGATTTGAATTAAGCCTTAGAGCAAGCCAGGAGGCAGAGGTGAGGAGGGAGAGCATACTAAGTATGGGGGACAGCCCTCAACAAGGAAGAGAGTAGGAAGATTGTCATGTGGGGCAAGAAGGACAGTATCAAAGGATTGTATAGTTTGTAGATGGGGAATAAAGTCTAAGAAAACTGGAAGGATAGGAAGGAACCAAATTGGGAAGGACTTTAAAAGTCTCCCAATGTTGTATCCCAATGCTTTATCTGAGAAATTTGACATAAAGATCTTTTTCCCATTCAATTGCTTTCCTTTTTATTCTAGACGCATTAATTTTGTTTTTGTAGAGGCTTTTCAATTTATTAAACTCAAAGTCACCTATTTAATTTTTTGTAATTGTCTCTATCCTTTGTTTCACTAAAAATACATGTCCTACCCATAGCTGTGGAAAGTTTATAATTTACAACTCTAATTTGTTCATGGTATGGTCTTAATATCAGGTCGTGTATCCATTTGAATTTGTTGTGGAATATGGTTTAAATTATTTAGCTTGTATTATTGCTATTGCTAGCATTATTAGAATCATATCAAGGAACAGGGAGGAAATTTTTTATGCCTATATTTACTGAGAAAACTACTGGTTTTTACCTATTGCATATATGCTAGCTTTTGATTTTAGATAGATATATTATCCTACTAAAAATCCCTCTATGACTATACTTTGTAGAGTATTTTAAAGCATAAATAAGTATTGTACTTTGTTGAATGTTTTTTCTACATTACTGAGGCAACTGTGTGGTTTTGGGTGTGTGTTTTGTGTCTTTCATACAATTAATTATATTAATAGTTTTCCTAATGCTGAACCATCCTTGTATCCTGATACAATTCCAATTTGATCATAGTGATTGATTTTTTGGCTACATTGCTGTAACTTTTTTGCCAGGATTTTATTTATAATTATTGAATTGATATTTATTAGCAATATTGGTCTACAATTCTTTTTCTTTGCTTTATCTTTCTCTAGTTTAGGTATTGGGTTTACATTCGTCTCATAAAATGAGAATGATATAGTGCTTTCTTTCATAATTTTTCAGAATAATTTGAGTAGCAAAAATATAAATTGTTTTTTAAAAGTCTGATAGCATTCTCCTGTAAATCCATCTGGATCAGGAAATAGTTTTTTTTTCCCTTTTGTAGTTTATTTATAATTTATTCAATTGCCTTTTCTGAAGGATTATTTAATGTCATTCTTTGGTGTTTTGTTAATTTGACTAGTTTGTATTTTTTAAATAATCCTCTATTTTTTTGAATTCTCAGCTTTGTTGGCATGTGTCTGTATATAATAGATTCTTATCTTCTTTGTAAAAATTTTTTCTGTTTGTTTTCACTTCACCTTTTCCTTTTTTATTTTGTTAGTTTGCTGTGTGATTCTTATTGGGGTTTTTTTTGTTTGCTAAATTTTATTTTTTCTAATTGTCAGGTATTTATTTTTTCTCCTTCTTCCTCTACTCTGTTAGAAAATTGAAGAAAAAAACAAACTCTTGTAATAAATATGCATGGTCAAGCAAAACAAATGTTCATATTGTCCATCCAAAAATGTGTTTCATTCTGCATATTTAGTCCATCATCTCTCAGCATTCTTTATTACCAGTCCTCTGGAACCCTGATTGATCATTGGTGTGCTCAAAGTCTTTGTCCTGAACCCTCTTCTCTTATCCCTCTATGTTATTTCACTTGGTGATCTTAGCTCCCATAGATAAAATTATCATCTCTATGCTTATGATTCTCAGATCTACTATCCAGTCCTAATCTTTCTTCTGACTTCCATTGTTAATAGTATAAATTGTTCTCCTGGCCCTGCTTAATTCACTCTGCATCACTTCATACAAGTCCTCCCAGGTTTCTGTGAAACCCCATCTTTTCCACCATTTTATATTATAGTGCAATTAAAAATAATTGGTTTATTTCAAATTCTTCTATGGCTTACCAACGTTTTCCAGATGTTCCAGTTGCAAAGCCTGTATACAGGAAAGCCAGCAAAGGGGAAGAAGCTAATTCAACCATCATGGGAACTTTAAAAATAATATAGGTTGGTTTTATTCAAATGTTGAAATGTTATTTTTTTTAAATATCTACTATTTGTTGTGACATGTATGTTTTCAGGATGGGTGGAAGCCTATTTTTGTAAGCAGCAGATACAGTCTCAAGACTCTTATAAGAATTCATCTCTATATTTGATATCCTTTTGATTATCAAATGTGATGGAGATAACAAACATTCAGGATAGATGCTAAAAAGGCAGTAGATTCAATATTTTCATTGCCTCTATCACCCTGAGTCTACAGGAGCTGTAGAATGACGAAATGGAATTTATTTTTAAAAAAACCTTAAAATTTGTACTGTTTTAAGTGGCCAGATGTTATGCCCATAACCCTTATGAGTGTGATGTCCTTTGCCTTCAGGAAATATTGGACTTTGTCTACCTGAGATTTGAATTATCTGCAGCCAGTTATCTGACCTACGACTGATTGATAACCATGTCTTGAGTTCTTGTGAGTCGCTAATGAAATGTGTCAAAGTCTTCCATATGCAGGTTCATGCTACCTTGACTAAAAAACTAGAAGAATCATTATTTTGTCCAATCTGGTGAGTGGGTCCAAGTGAAACTATATCAACAAAAATCCTCATTGAAACCCTCATGGAAGGGACCTTTGTCGAGTTCTTCTCACCACCAACACCAGTGTAAAATGCCCAGGTCAGCTAATTTAGCTTCATGAAGTTCTACAAGATGGAGAGTCCCCGGGGGGGATATTTGTACTTGATTGTTGCTATATCCTTTAAAATACATATAATTTATAAAAGCTAATTGATGTTCAATGATTAAATGGAATTGGGGGCTGGTCATTGGCCCCTATTAATGGAGGGAACACAGCTGGTAGGGTACAATGGCAGTAGACAAGTTACACTAGAGAAGAGACACCTCAACCTTCAGGGTAACCTGGGACCCGAGGAAGAGATATAGCCAACCTGGCTCTAGGAGAGAAAATCAGAGCATACTTACCATACTAAAGATGGTTCTAAGAATAGAAATATAGCAGTTGTAATGCTTTGTTGTTGTTCAGTCGTTTCAGTTGTATCCAACTGTTTGTGACCCCATTTGGGGTTTTCTTGGCAAAGATCCTGGAGTGCTTTGCCATTTCCTTCTCCAGCTCATTTTACAAATGGGGAAACTGAGGCAAACTGGGCTAAGTGACTTGCACAGAATCACTCAGCTAGTAAATGTCTGAGGTCAAATTTGCACTCAGGTCTTCCTGACTCCAAGTCCAGTGCTCTATACACTGTACCACCCCACCTAGCTGCCTATACTTGTAAAGCTACTTTAAATCATAACGAAGCACCTCTGTAAATAATGTAAGTCAACTTTTTAGATCTAACTATAGCTTTAAGCTCCAAGAGGATAACCAGTGGGATTTAGGATCCTGGCTTGGTTCCATTTTTGTGTCCTTTCATTCCACTAACACTTAATACTGATTGTTCAATGTCTTATAATTTGCAGTTAATAACCATTGTTTGGTATCTATGTTTAGGGTGGGATAAGATGGAGGGCTGGGTCCAAGTAAGTGGGCCTGAGTAGTTTGTTCTCCTTTAAAAAGGAATAATAATAATGATAATAATAATAATAAACTAATATTTATATAGCACTTGAAGGTTTACAAAGAACTTTGTACATATGTCACTTGATCTTCACAATAGACTATTACAGATGTTAATTTTTCCAGACGGAAAAAGTGAACCTAAGAGAGGTAATAAGTCAGGGTCAAACAGGTGTTAAGTGCCTAAGGTAGTATTTGAACTCTGGTCTACCTGACTTAAAGTCCAGGCTCCATCCACTACACCATTAGGAAACAAAAAGTAAAACCATTAGGTAGCATATATAAGGGTTTCCTCACTTACTTAAAATAGGCCAATTTGTTTGACCCTAGATGCCATAATTTCTTTCTTTTTTTTTTGTTGCTCTTAACTTTTCTATTTAGTATAGTTACATGTAAAAACATTTTTTTTTTTTGGTATTCGTTTTTAAAACTAGATGCCTTAATTTGTAAGACCAATCTTGCCACCCCTTCTCCCTGCCTCCAATTCTCCCCATCTGGATTCTCAGAGAGAAGTTTATGAGACAAAAAGCAGAAGAGTTTCATTTCTGAAATAAGAACAGACTGCAAAGATCAGACATACGTATTATGTGATCAGGAATTTCCTAGTCACAACATCACAGAATTGGAGAGCTAGAACATAGATATCAGAGATCACCTAATGGCTAGATGATTGAGCTAGATTCTAGCCCAATTGCCACATTTTTCAGAGAAGGGAACCAAGGGGAGTAACAGAAGAGACATTTCTCCCAAATCTGGGGTGGGACACACCTCCTAGAAGTACCTCCTTCCAGGGGCTCTGTCACTTCAAGCTTTAAGGTATTTTGCTCTCTTTCCCACTCCTTGTGTGATATTCCCCCACTCAGTAAACTAGGTTCCCTTCTCATCTGCTGAACTAGCCAACGGTAGACTTGAGGGTATCAATTGAGTCAGCACTGCGCTTCCGACCAACCCGGAGAAGGGCATTCCTAATGACCTCACAGACAGAGGGGGCAGCAGCAAGCCGGGCCTCAGCCTCAGGAATGGAACATCGAAAAAGGAGGGTCAGTAGTGCGATGGGGATCACCTGTAGGGAAGAGGAGCAAAAGTCTGAGGTTTAAGAAGATACAGTCTATGGGTTCACCAGGAGGATCAAAAACCAGAAGGTGACGGTGGGCTTGGGAACAGCAAGTTGGGAAGCAAGATAATACTGGTAGTAGCTACCAGACATGGTAAATAATAAAAACTAATTTAATAGGACTTTAATTAGAGGATCCATTGATCCATCTGATGAGTAGCCCCAAACAACGGGATGAGATTACAGGGCATGGATCTTTATGGAAATAAAACCCTTCCATAGAGGTACAAATGCATGAGTGATCCCATGCTGAGAACTCTTCTGATAAGTCCCAAGAGAATGGGGCTGCCTCCAGGAAGGCTAGCATCTGAGAGTGGGGATTGGGTGGGTGAACTCTTGCCTTTCCCTGTAGTCTATAAGAGCAAACTATAAAATGGCTCTCCCCCTTTTCTTCTCCTTCTGCATTCTCGCTCCCTTGGATTGCCAAACCAGATTGTGGCTTGGTTACAGGGAAGGAGAGGGAATGCATGAAAGATGATCTCCTCCCCTCCAGGAAAGGAAAGTTCATTCTCTGGAACTATAGTGTAACCTGTCCTTCAAAAAGTAAATAGCCTGTATCAGATTGTGCTCTCTCTTGGGGAGAGGGAGAGGGAAGGAGGGGGAGAAAAATTTAAAACTCAAAAACTTATGGAAGTGATTGTTGATAAATCAAAATAAATTAATAAAAAAAAAGGAAACAGAAAGGCAGAAGGCAGCCCAGAGCTCTCTTCACAAGCGTGCCTGGGCAAACACAGGCCAATTACCATGTGCTTCTCCTGGGACGTTTTCTACTCCCAAGGGAGCAAGAAGAAGGAAAAATCCCCTCCTACCCCTTTCCCTTGCTGCTCGTTGGTCTGGAAGTCCATGGGAAAGAATGCAAGAGGAAAAGAAAAGGGGTGGGGGAGAAATTTCATAGCTCTCTCTTACAGATTTCAGAAAAAAACAAGAGTTTATTTACACACACATACACATACAGTCACCAGTCCCTATGTCCTCTCAGCAAGTGGCTGCAGGGGTGGGGAGCCTTCGGCCTCAAGGTCACATGTGGTCCTTGAGTGTGACCTTTTGACTGAGTCCAAGTTTTACAGAACAAATCCTTTTATTAAGAGGATTTGTTCTGAGAAGTTTGGATTCAGTCAAAGAGTCCCACTTGAGGACCTAGAGGGCCACACATGTCCTCGAGGCCACAGGTTCCCCACCCCTGGTAGGGCCATGTGTACTTCTAAGGGAGGTGTCCATCTAACAAAAGTCAAGGCCTTGTAATCTTATCAAATTGATTAGGAGATTCATCAAATTGACCAAGGGCTCCATAATCAACCCTCTTACACAGGGCATAAGACAAATTAGGGACAGAAGTGTACTAGGGAGAAAGAGAAGAGTCTAATACCTGTTCCTTTTCTTTCGCAATCTGAATGTGGTGGGAAATAGGTGCTGCCTGGATCTCCTCCGACACTTCTTGAGGGAAATGGATGGCCTTGAGTAGACTCTCAATGCATTGAGCCTTGGCCTGTCCTGAAAACCGCTGCAGGAGGAAGAGAGAAATATTAGAATTGGGAAGGAAGACCAAAGGAACCAAGAAGGGGAGCTAAGTAGGGAAAAGTGAGGAGAGAAATAGGTGGAGGTTCCAGAATTCTCCATGAATTAAGCCCCTCTCTTAGAGGGAACTTATGTATAACCCCATGCAAACAAAAGTAGCATTAAGCAGTGACTTGAAATAGTGGATTCAAACCAGCAAAACATTCACATGTGGTCTTTCCAATTGCAAAAATACCTAAGTGTCATGCTCTACTCCGGAGATCAAATAAGGTAATATGTGAAAAGTGGTTGGCCATCCTTAAAATCCTACATAAAAGTTAGCGATTGTGATTTTAATTAATGAGATTTTTTTAAAAGGATATATCTCTACCCAGTTACTTCTAATTCACCAACAGGCAGTCATTTGCTCACAAAGAGGTTACTGGTAACCAGCCTCCATGGCTCTTTCTGGCATCTTCCCCTCAATAAGTTTCTGAGTCTTGAATCTTCTGAGCCCCTTTCATAATCAATACACCACATCTACATTCAGCATCACCATTTGGGTTACCCATGGGGGAGCCCTTGCCCATTCAGAAATGCTTTCTACTAACACAAATTCTAAAATCAAAAATGAAGTAAAAATATTTTGGTCATGGTGTAGGTCAGGGATAAGTAACCTCATGGCCCAAGTGCCAGTGGGTAGGGCCTGAGGCAACTTCTGATGAATTTCTACTACTCGCCATCATGCACAACACTTTTTTTTTCTTTTTCTTGCTTTTCTCTCAGTCCCTTCTCCCTACTTTTATCGTTCCTGTCCCTTTCCTCCTTTTCTCCTCTCCTACCTATGTCTTAAGTCTTTCAGTGACACATCAGATAACTAGGGGTATTACTTGGTTCTACTAGAATATAATTTGTTGCTCCCTAGTCTAGATAGTTCTTCCATCTTTACATTCCTGCCTTACCTATGTCTAGGAACATGATAATCATTATTTCCTATCTTTCTAGTCTATGAGTATCCTTCAAGGGTCTGTCTCTATATTTTTCTTTCCTTATTCACTCCCCATGAAGTCCACTTATGCTTTCAATTGTCACCTCTATGTGGGTGACTCTAAAATTAACTCCCCAGTCCTCATCTTTGTGCCTCATTACTTTATTCTTATTTACCTACAGAACTTTCCACTGGGATGTCCTGCCATTTCCTCAAACTTCACATGTATAAAACTGAATTCACCCTTGTCTCCACCCTGTAAATTGACATTCCCTCCCAACTACACCACTTCCATTAGGTCTACATTTCTTCCAGGATCCAGGTTAGAAACTGAGAGAAATGATTATTAATAACCAATAATTTGGGGAGATAGTACATGATAGTAATGAGATTGAATTAATTCTCTTCAATCTTGGTCATACCCCATCCAACCTTACAAGGAATTTAATCCAAGATGGGCAAGCTCATTGTGTTTTACTTGGATAAGGATAAGGATAAATTCTTTGATTAGATTGCCCAAAGCAGGGGGTGGTCTGGGTAGAGAGATGAGACTCTCTGTCCAAGAGTGACAAGATGTCACTCTTAGCCCCTCATTTTAATATAGCCCACCTCCAGTCTATCCTATGCCTCAAAAAAAAATCCTCTGCAAAATACCCTGCAAAGGGAAGCTAAATGGAACAGTGGTAGAATGCTGAACTTGGAGTCAGGGGGACCTGAATTAAAATACAGTTTTAGGTACTAACTGTGTGATCCTGGGCAAGTCATTTAACCTCAATCTGCCTCAGTTTCCTCATCTGTAAAATAAGGATAATAAAAGCACCTACTCCAAAGGGTTGTTGTGAGAATAAAATGAGATATTTGCAAAGTGCTTTGCAAACCTTAAATCACTATATAAATAATAGTTTGATTATCCAATACTTAGCACAATAGCTGGCACATAGTAGGTGCTGAGAAAATTCAATTGAGTCTTTATCATTTTTATTGATCCTATTTATAATTAATTGATTTTGTCCTGTAACTGCCTAAGTCATGGTTCTTTGTCTCTGAGCTCAGTTCAGAAATTCAGTTGGATTGTAAGGAGTTAAGTTTTAAAATCCAATTATCCTGCTAAGTGCTATTCTATTCTTGCCTCAAAGAAATCTACTATCCTTGAGAAATGCAGATGGATCCCATGGAGTCTGGTCTAGTATCTTTATAACACCAAGCTATCCTTCAAGGATGTCTGATTTGCTATCCAAAGAAGTCTGGGCCACTATCTTTGACCTTGTAGGTAGACTCAAACAATGAATATTTCTTAATCACAGGGGGTAAGGAGGGGGTTGTTGCTAATCTCTCATTCCTTACTTCCAACCAATCATATTGTCTCTCATGCCTCAGCTAAGTAACCAATTATGTTGTCCTCAACTCCATGATATCACCTACCCTGTTCTGGTCTTTGTTCCAACCTTATAAAAATTAGTCATCTTGGGGTCCTTGGCTAACTGAGGCAGATCCATTAACCCATTCTATACAGGTTGCACCCCTATTAATAAATGTTATCTTAAGGGCAGCTAGGTGGCACAGTGGATAGAGCACTGGCCCTGGATTCAGGAGGACCTGAGTTCAAATTCAGCCTCAGACACAACTGTGTGATCCTGGGCAAGTCACTTAACCTCATTGCCTAGAACAAAAAAAAAAGTTATCTTGCTCAGAGAAAATGTGCCTCGGGCTACTTTTGTTGAATTTTACTCAGATGGTGCTTAATAAATGTATTACTATTCACCTCCAGAGAGAGAACTAAGCATTTTTTTAAAACTTTCTTTATTTTTCTTGCCTTTTTCCTCCAACATGGCTAATGTGAAAATATATTTTACATGATTTTATATGTATAATAGATATCGTCTTTCTTAGTTTCTCAATAGTTGGGGGAGAGGATGGAGGGTGGGAAAAATTTGGAACTGAAAATTAAAATTAATTTTTTTTTTAAATAAGTGCTTGGGCAGCGGCAGTGGCAGTGGAAATGGCAGTGGCTGCTTCTGCAGCTCTTAGCTCACAGATGGTGGGGGGATTGAACAACTGGTCAGAAGAAGATTACAGGGGTCTCTCTGCTGGCACTGAGGCAGGATTATCTTGCTTTGCCCATGCTTGGATCTGGGTCCCAATCCTGGGTGGCAGTCCTGGGCAAGGAGGAGCACTGGCATAGCAGAGCTTGTGGCAGCAGTGGAGAGGGAACCCTCCTCACAGTTCCAGGGCAAAAAAAGAGTGCTTGTGGTCACTCACAGGCCAGAACACAGGCCAGGAGAGGAGTAAACACCTCTCCTTAGATCATACCACCTTGGTAGAACTGAAAACTTATAGGTCCCTAAAAGTATCTTTGAAAACAGCTGCACAAAACCCCTGAAGCTTGGGACAGTACGCTCTCCACACTGGAAGCAGAGCCCTACCTTAACAAAGATTCAAAAAGTCAAGTAATTGGCTGGGAAAATGATCAGACAATGGGAAAAAAAAAACCCTGACTATAAAAACTTATTTTGGTGACAAGGAAGATCAAAATAAACACTCAGAAGGAGACAACAAAGTCAAATCTCCTACATCCAAAGCCTCTAAGAAAAATATGAATTGGTCTCAGGCCATGGAAGAGCTCAAAAAGGATTTTGAAAAGTAAGTAAGAGAAGTAGAGGAAAAATTGGGAAGAGAAATGAGAATGATGCTAGAAAATCATGAAAAATGAGTCCAATGACTTGCTAAAGTAAAGGAGATCCAAAAAAATTTGAAGAAAATAACACCTTAAAAAATAGTCTAGACCACAAGGCAGAAGAGGTCCAAAAAGCCAATGAGGAGAAAAATACCTTAAAAAGCAGAATTGGTCAAATGGAAAAGGAGATCCAAAAGCTCACTGAAGAAAATAATTCCTTAAAAATTAGATTGGAGCAAATGGAAGCTAATGATTTTATGAGAAATCAAGAAATTATAAAACAAAACCAAAAGAATGAAAAAAAATAGAAGACGATGTAAAATGTCTCATTGGAAAAACAACTGACCTGGAAAATAGATCCAGAAGAGATAATTTAAAAATTATTGGACTACCTGAAAGCCATGATCAAAAAAAAATCTAGAGTTCATCTTTCAAGAAATTATCAAGGAAGATTGCTATGATATTCTAGAAACAAAGGGTAAAATAGAAATTGAAAGAATCCACCAATCATCTCCTGAAAGAGATCCCAAAAGGAAAACTCCCAGGAATATTATAGTCAAATTCCAGAGTTCCCAGGTCAAGGAGGAAATATTGCAAGTAGCCAGAAAGAAACAATTCAAGTATTGTGGAACCACAATCAGGTTAACACAAAATTTAGCAGCTTCTACATTAAGGGATCAGAGGGCTTGGAATATGATATTCCAGAGGTCAAAGGAGCTAGGATTACAACCAAAAATCACCTACCCAGCAAAACTGATTGTAATCAACTAGGGGAAAAATTAATATTCAATGACACAGAGGAATTTAATACATTCTGGAGAAAAAAAACAGAGCTATATAGAAAAATTGACTTTCAAATACAAGACTTGAGAAGAATGAAAATGTAAATAGGAGAGGAATCATAAGGGACTTATTAAGTTAAACTGTTTACATTACTACATGGAAAGATGACATCTGTAACTCATCAGACCTTTCTCATTATTAGGGTAGTTGGAGGCAATATACATAGATAGAGGGCACAAGGTGAATTGAATATGAAGGGATGATATCTAAAAAACAAAATTAAGGGGTGAGAGAGGAATGTACCAGGAGAAGGAGAAAGGGAGAGGTAGAATGTGGTAAATCATGTTACATAAAACGGCAAGAAAAAGCTTTTACAGTGGAGGAAAAGAGGGGGGAGGTGAAAGGGAATGAGTGAAGCTTACTCTCATCAGAATTGGCTTAAGGAGGGAATAACATACATACTCAATTGGGCATGGAAATCTATCTTACCCTATAGGAAAGTAGGGGGAAGTGGATAGGGGGGTAAGAGAAGGGAGGGCAGATTGGGGGAGGGGGCAATCAGAAACAAACACTTTTGAGGAGGAACAGGGTAAAAGGAGAGAATAGAATAAATGGGGGGTGGGATAGGATGGAGGAAAATATAGTTAGTCTTTCACAACATGACTATTGTGGAAGTGTTTTGCATGACTACACATGTGTAACCTGTATCAAATTGCTTGCCTTCTCAATGAGGGTGGGTGGGGAAGGAAGAAGGGAGAGAATTTGGATCTCAAAGTTTTAAAAACGAATGTTAAAAATTGTTTTTACATGTAACTGGGAAATAAGATACACAGGCAATGGAGCATAGAAATCTATCTTACCCTACAGGAAAATAGAAGGGGGAAGGGATAAGAAAGGGGGGACAGTGATAGAAGGGAGGGCAGATTGGGGGAAAGGGTTATCAAAAGCAAAACATTTTTGAAGAGGGACAGGGTAAAAGGAGAGAGAGGATAGGAAAAATGGGTAGGGGGAATAGGATGGAGGGAAATGCAGGTAGCAATAGTAACTGTGAAAAAAATTTTGAAGCCAGTTTTTCTGATAAAGACTTCATTTCTCTAACATATAGAGAATTATGTCAAATTTATAAGATTAAGAGCCATTCCCCAATTGATAAATGATCAAAAGATATAATCAGTTTTCAGATGAAGTAATTAAAGCTATCTATAGTCATATAAAAAAATATTCTAACTCACTATTGATTGGAGAAATGCAAGTTTAAATAATTCTGAGGTACTACCTCATACCTATTAGATTAGATAATAGGACAGAAAAGGTAAATGACAAATGTTGGAGGGAATGTGGAAAAAATGAGACATTAATATACTGTTGTCAGAGTTGTGAATTGATTAAACTATTCTATAGAGCAGGGCTATAAAACCATGCATACTCTTTGACATAGCAATACCACTACTAGGTCTGTATCCCAAAAGAGATAAAAAACAAAAAGGAAAAGGACCTATATGTACAAAAATATTTATAGCAGATCTTTTCTGGGGATAAAGAATTAGAAATTGGGAGGATGCACATCAATTGGGGAATGGCTGAATAAGTTGTGGTATGTAATTATGATGGAATACTATTGTACTATAAGAAGTGATGAGCAGGATGCTCTCAGAAAAACCTAGAATGACTTACATGGGTTGATACAAAGTGAAATGTACTGGGGACAAAGTAACAGCAATATTGTACAAGATGATCAACTGTGAATGACTTAACTATTCTCAGCAATGCAATGATCCATGACAACTCTGAAGGACTTGGGATGAAAAATACTATCCATCCCCAGAGAAAGAACTGATGGTGACTGAACACAGACCGAAGCAATTTTGTTTGTTGGTTTTTTTCACTTTATTTTTCTTGAGTTTTTTTTGTCTGTTTTCTTTCATAACATGACTATTATGAATATGTTTTGCATGACTACACATATATAACCTATATGAAATTGCTTGCCTTCTCAATGGGGGGGGCAGGGAGAAAGGGAGAGAATTTGGAACTCAAAGTTTTAAGAACAAATGTTAAAAAAAAAAAAATGCTCGTCAACTTGACTTGGTCATTCAGCCTTCACTTAGAGATGTCCAAAAAGGGGGAGCCCACCACCTCCCAAGACAGTTCATTACATGTTGGATACTTCTAATTGCTGAGAAGTATTTCCTGATATCAAATTCAAATTTACCTCTTTGGAAATTCTACCCATTGCCCCTTGTTCTACCCTTTGGGGCAAATTTTTTTTTTATCAACAAACACTGTTTGAATGATTGATTTCTTTAACTTCCTCTATAACAGATGGTTTCTTCCAATACAGGTGTACACACACACACACACACACACACACACACACACACACACACACACA